TTTGTCTTTGCCCAACCAGCCAAATGCTGGTTCCGCTGGTTTCCCCTAGCCCTGTAGCATGCAGATACAGACAAACAACATCCAACCTTCACCTAAATTGTACCCCTGTAGTGCCTGCCCTGCTACACTATAGTCAACCAAACAAAACAGAACAATTTCGAGTTGGATAGAACTAAATCTGCGCAATCAAGTATGTTGAACCGCAAAGCTTTCATCTTGGGTTCTTTTGCGAGCTCTTCCTTTCTGCTTGTACTGTTCATAGCGCGTACAATGTTATGCCGAAGCGCACATTGTACGAGTACCTGCAAATGCTTCAAGCGAAAATTGCGAAAGCAAACAAACACACGAACATACCATTCACGCGCAAATGCATTCGCACACGCATACTCGAACAAACAGACGGCAGGATGTCGTGCAATGTGAATTTGCACCCAACAATGTGTACATGACACAGCCACCTGGGTATGAAGATGGTACGGGCAGGATGTGGAAGCTGAAAAAGTCCATCTACGGCTTGAAGCAGGCGCCACGCTGCTGGTACCAGAAGTTGGCAGCTGTTTTAGAGGAGATGGGATTCAGGACCAGCAGCTGTAATGAGAGTCTCTTTCTCAAGGGGGAGGTGGAGAAGCTGGTGCTGTTTCTGGTCTATGTGGACAATATTCTTCTCTTTAGCAGCAGCATCAAGGAGATCCAGAATATGCAGCAGCAGCTGATGGAGAACTTCAAGTGCAAGAACCTTGGGGAGGTAAAGTACTACCTCGGGATGCATTTGGAGAGGGATATAGATCACAGGTGGTTGAAGCTGCACCAGGAGAAGTTCATCAAGGAGCTGGGGGAAAAGTACAGGATTGAGAATGAGCGCAAAGTTGCAACTCCCCTGCCAGCAGAATTCAAACTTATGAAATCTGTAGAGGATAAACTGGTTGAAGCCGAGGAGCAGCAGCAATTTCAGTCCTTGGTGGGCAGCCTCTTGTATGCAGCAGTTCACACAAGGCCTGACATCTCTTTCTCGGTCGGGCAGCTGGCTAGGATGGTGCAGAATCCATCAGAGGAGCAGGTGGATGCAGCTGAGCGTGTGGTGAAGTATCTGAACTCTCACCCAAGCATTGGAGTTCAATACTCCGCATCTGCACAGGTGAAGCAGAAAGGGGTTGAGGTGCTAAAAGAGAAAGGGAAGCGGCTTGGAGAAGGCAAGCTGTTTCTCACTTGCTTTACAGATGCTTCGTGGGCCTCTGAGAAGGAGGATTCCTCATCTGTGGAAGGATACATCTGCGTAGTTGGAGGAGGACCTGTTAGTTGGAGGTCAAAGAAGCAGACGGAGACGGCACTCTCTTCTGTGGAATCAGAGTACATAGCGATGTTCCATGGGGTGAAGGAGGTAATTTGGCTGAGGAGGCTGTTAGAGGAGATTGGACAGGAGCAGAAGGTTGCTACTCCGCTGTTCTGTGATAGCAAGGGGGCTCTCGGATATGGCCAGGAACGCTGTGCTTCATGGGCTCAATAAGCATATGCGTATCAAGGGCACTGGCTGCGTAAAGAGGTGAAGGGGGGGACGGTGAATCTGATCTACATCAAGACTCACCAGCAGCCAGCAGACTTCCTCACCAAGAGGCTTGCGGATGAGCCTCATTAGCGTTGTGTGGAATGAGCATTAACTAGCATGGAATGATGGGGATGCAGCCGGCAGGCTGAGGGGGAGTGTGTTGGGTGCAAATTCACATTGCACGACATCCTGCCATCTGTTTGTACGAGTATGCGTGTGCGAATGCATTTGGGTGTCAATGGATTGTTCGTGTGTTTGTTTGCTTTCACAATTTTCGCTTGAAGGATTTGCAGGTACTCGCGCATTGTGCGCTTCGGCACAACATTGTACGCGCTATCAATAGTACAAGCACACGGAACCCAAGATGGAAGATTTGCGGTTCGGTTGAATTGATTACGCAGATTCAGTTCTATCCAACTCGAAATTGTACTGTTTTGTTTGGTTGACTATACTGTAGCAGGGCAGGCACTATAGGGGTATCATTTAGGTGAAGATTGGATGTTGTTTGTCTGTATCTGCATGCTACAGAGCCAGGGGAAACCAGCGGAACCATCATTTGGCTGGTTGGACAAAGACAAAACAAGTTCTGTTTTAGTACCTGAACCTGGTTGTTGTTTTTCCAGGTTGGAAAAACAGAACCAGAGGTTGTTTACCAACTTACTAGATGCTGTTTTGTCCAGCCAGGTTGGTTCTATTGCTTGGAATTATTTGGGATCATCCGTGGTTGGTCCCAGGTTGATTTCTAAGGTCCTTGCTAGCTAGAACTATTTATTCCTTCCCTGTTTGTACCTGGAGATAGTCAATTTGATTCAAGCAAATTCCTTTCTTCCTGGAATTTCGCTCTACACGGTACGACCGCGGAATGCTACCCGAGTCAACGGGCAGCAAGAGTGGTGCGCAGCGTGTCGTGCTACTCATGGGGCTCCTGGCGGAGACCGTAGACTGGTCACCGCAGGCTCCACTAGTTCCTAGGCGGGAAAGTGCCAGTGAAGCTAGAAGGACGGCGCAACAAAATCTCCTCGTGCAGGTTGCCCTTGAGAAAGGCGATGGAGAAGTCGAGAGAGTGCAGTTCGTAGTCTCGCTGTGCTCCAACATGGAGTAACACAAGAAGATTAGTCATCTTTGTTAGCGACTAATGACGGAGTCTATGAAGATTAGGGGCCGAAATATCACAAAATCGTTGGGCTAGAATTCTGGATAGAATTTTCGACTTCACAAGAAACGTCTTCGACGAAAATTACATCGTTGAAAGTTCACCAATATTAGAATGTTATAGCTCTAGTCCGTGGATACAATTCCCAATTTGAATCGTACGGAAAGGTGAAGTATTTCTTGAGTTATGAATTTCGGCGCACTAGGGGGTATGCTGCTACAGAAACTTAACTCAATCACAATTTTTCTCACAAGTACCACACGAGAAAGTTAGAGTTGCAATGAACCAAGTGGGAGGGGATGAGGAGGACGAGAGGGAAGGTCCCAAGAGAGTCCCCAACTAAGGAAACCCCATGCCACACAATTCCTCTCTCTATAGGTACCCAACTTGCACCCCAACTTTGCCACACTTGCCAACCTGGTTTGGCGTCTCCCAACAAGGTTGTATCATCTACAGTGACAAGGACGAATTTCCCAACCCCCAAAAGTCTGTACCCCATATTGAGTCAACCCGCAAATTCCCATAGTCGCCGCATCACAATCAAAACTTCGAACAATCATAACTTTCTCATTCTTGCTCCGATCGCGGCGATTCTTGGTTCGTCGGAAAGCTCTCGAGCAGAATAATATCCAAACTATACCGAACACAAATTATTGCACACACTCACACCATGCATGCAAAGCACGAACATATGATGAGAGGCAGACAGACATGAATGCAAATGATAGCATCACATAACAATCTTCGGGGTCGGTGCAAAGATCTGAAAGAAGTCAACTCGCTCGCACTGACTGAAGCCTCTAGCCACGAAGTGCGCCTTGAAGACAAGCGGTGATCGCGGCGGCCGCTTCACCTTGAAGATCCACATGCCATCGACAACGTTCACCCCAGGCGCGGGAACTGCCTGTGGATCTGCAAGACGCCATCTTCGACTCCATGGCTGCTATCTAGTGAGAGGCCAACTGCCCCTACAATGCCTCATGGTACGTGCGAGGAGTTGATATGTCAAGGGCGTCGGGGTCTCCCTCAGGGGATAACAGCATGGCACAGAGATGAGGAGAAGCAGTTGCCAAAAACTTCAGCTCAAAATACCTATCCTCTAGGACGTCACTGGCCAAGGGCGCACTCACCCTCGATGGACAGAGGACGGGCAGGCACCACTCGGGTGGCGTAGTCAACGCGACAAGTGGCGGAAATGTCAGCAACAGCAGTAGTAAGTGCTGAGACAGACGATGGCGAGGCACGAGGGTCGGTGACTAGAGAGGCGAGAACACGAGTGATAACAAGACGGGTGGCACGGCTTTAGTCAGTGATAAGGGTAGAGGTGGAGACTGTAAGAGATGACTCAAGAGGTGACGAGAGAACAGACTGAGGCGGAGAACGACGAGGATTCGAACAAAGTAAGACAGTGCGGAGGTTGTCAAAATGAAATGAGGGATGTGCACGAGCGGGACAACGAACTGTTCAGTCGTGCGGGACAACAGGAGGAGACGTCTGTGACCAAGGAGGAGAGAAAAAAGTTAGAGACGAGTTCGAAGGGGGGAAAGTAGGACCGTAAACAGGAGGAGATAGTGAGAGGTCTGGAGGAGGAGAAGGAAGACCAAGGGCCCGAAGGCCACTCACAAGTGGAGGCAATGGGTACAAAGGCGGCAGCTGCTGCTGCTGCTGCTGCTCCTCCTGCTGCTACCGCTCCAGCCCCAGCCCCAGCCGCTCCTGCTCCAACCGTTCCCGCTCATCGTGCTCCAGCTGACGAAGCCTCTGGAAACTCGTCGGGTAGCGGTGGGGAGGTGGGGAAGGCGCCGTAGCAGCAGTGCCTCCAGCTCCAATCTCCTCGGAACTAGCACATCTACCTCCAGCACCCCCAGATTTAGTGTCCCCATCACGAGCCCCCCCAGAACTAGCATCACGAGTGCCAAAACCCTCAGCGCGAATACCTTACGAACTAGCACCTCCAGCGCCAGTACCCTCAGCTCCAGCACCCTCAGAACCAGCACCTCCAGCACCAGTACCCTCAGCTCCATCACCCTCAAAACTAGTACCTCCAGTGCACGTGCCCCCAACACCAACACCCAGAGTCAATTGCAACCTGTCGCGGTAGAGCTGAAGGCTGCTGTGGTGACTGTGATAACTATTGAAGTTAGGTGAGTAGCAGCCATGGCTAGTGAGTGAAGTAACGGGAGGAAAAAGGTTTTTTTACCAAAGTGTCGAGAGACATTTGAAAGTTAGGGTTGGAAAACCTCAACTGAACCTAAGGCGTGTTCAAAGCAGAGACAAACTGCAAAGTGAACCTAAGATGAACCAGAAATGAAGCTAAGTATAAAAGTGGCCGAAAAATAATATAAGGCCAAAAAGAAATGCAGAGCGAACACTAGCCTACTCCAACACACCCCCAGGCTAGGTGAAGCTCTGGAACAGAACACCTAGTGAACCGGAACACACCTAGAATTGGCGAGACGAGTGAGACCAAGCGCGCGGACGTAGAAACGGTGCGCTGCACGAAGGAGGACCTTGGTGAAAATGTCAGCAAGGTTGGCGTCGGCGGCCACCTTGCGAAGGCAGAGGAAACCAGACTGCACTAGCTCGCGCACAAAGTAGTAGCGAAACTCTATGTGTTTGGTGAGGGCATGATAGATAGGATTTTCAGTGAGATGAATCATGCACGCACTGTCACAGGAAAGCGTCACAGACTGCTGAGAGTGACCAAGCTCAACAAGGAGAAAGGAGAGCCAGCGAGCCTCCTGAGCTGCCAATATGCCTGCGTACAACTCAGCCTCACAGGTAGAAAGACAGACAGAGGATGAACGAGTGGAGCGCCAGCTGATGAGACCACTCCCAAGAGTAAATCCATAACCCTGAGAGGAGCGGCGGTCAGGGCGAGAATCAGCGTAGGAGGAATCACAGTGATCGGAAAGAACGGGGGGGGAAGTGCCACCAAGAGTGAGTGCAAGATCAGATGTAGCGCGAAGATAGCGGAGAACGCGCTTGGCAGCCGCCCAATGCACGTCAGTGTGGCGACCAAGGCCAACGAAGCGAGAGAGGACACTGAGGAGATAAGCAAGATCAGGGCGAGTGCATTTCATAGCATACATGAGTGACCCAACGAGCTCTAGATAGGGTCACAATTCTGAGGAGGGAGCAGGGATGGCAGGGGCAGTGAGCTGATGGTTAAACAGAAGAGGGGTGGAGACCAGTTTGGCCTGTGACATCTCGAACCGCTGGAGGATGGAGTGGATGTAGAACGCCAAAGAGAGAGAGAGAGAGAGAGAGAGAGAGAGAGAGAGAGAGAGAGAGAGAGAGAGAGAGAGAGAGAGAGAGAGAGAGAGAGAGAGAGAGAAAGAGAGAGAGAGAGAGATGGTGCGGGCAGCACCATCGCGACGAATCTCCATTCCAAGATGAAAGAGCTCGCCGAAATCCTTGCATAGAAGACGCGCCTGCAGGGCCTTCTTGACAGCAGCCAAATAGGGAGAATCCTTAGCAAGCAGCACCAAGTCGTCCATATAGGCAAGAATGTAAAGCATGTGAGGGGAAGTGCGAATGAAAAGACTGGGATCGGAGGTAGAGGTGGAGAAACCAAGAGAGTGAAGAGTGGAGGCGAGCTTGGCATGCCACTCGAAGGGAGCCTACTTGAGGCCATATATAGGGCGCTTCAGCTCCCAAACAGTGTCTGGAGGAAAGGGGCGAGGAAAACCGGCAGGGCGCTCAAGAAAAATGCGCTCATGAAGCTCGTCCTGAAGAAAAGCATTCGAAACATCCATAGAATGGATCTCCCAATCCCAGCGAGCACCTAGGTCAAGAAGGAGGCGAAGGGTAGGGAGACGAGCAGTGGGAGAGTAAGTGGCAAAGTAGTCAATGCCTTCACGTTGGGCAAAGCCTTTGGCGCAATAACGGGCTTTGAAGAGAGGAAGCTCCCCGGGCAACTGCTTGACACGAAAGACCCGTTTGCCCTTGACAATGGTGGCACCAGGGGGGGGGGACAGAGTCGACGTAGGAATTGGTACGAGTTAACGTCTCACACTCAGCAATGATGGCAGCCATCCACTCATTAGTGTGAAAGCTAGAAACGGCCTCGGAATAGGACTGAGGGATGGGAATGGCGGCAGTGTCGGCAGAAATAAGAGTGGGTGAATTGCTGAAGTTGCCGATGGTGACACATAGAAGAGGGGAGACAGGGTGAACAGAGAAGAGTTCCTCAAACCGATCTTCAAGAAGATTGGGGTCCAGAGAGGAAGATAGACGAGTGAAAAGAGCGGAGTGTTGAAAATTGGACATTGCGTGGGTCATGGAGCGAGTGAGGCGCGAAGAGGGTAGGGAAGGGGAACAGAAGGAAGGGAAGCATCACGACGTGGTGATGGAGAGGGCATGGGAGCTGAAGAGGAAAAGGCAGGAGGAGAGTTGCCTGAGGTGACGGCGAAATGAGGGGCGGAGGGGGCAGGAGGGAGAGGAGGAGCAGGGGCGAGGGGAACGGGAGGTGGGGAGGGAGTAGCAGAGGGAGCAGCTGAGGGACGCTGATTAAAGTCAGACCAATGGAGAGAAGGAGTAGGAGGGGTGGGAGGGGAAGTGAGGAATGGAGAGCGAGTCTCGTCAAAGATGACATCCTGGCTGCGAATGAGCTGCAGAGAGGAGGGAGCATAGAAAAGGTAGCGAGGACAATCAGAGATGATGCCAATGAATGCACACAGCTGCGTCTTAGGGGCAAGTTTCTTGCGCGGCGTCATCGTCCAAGCAGCGCCCGTGTCCAACACCTAATAGTCCAGGGGGTGCAGCTCTGCTCCAACCTTGGCAGAGGCGTCTCCTAGCTCCCCCTGCTCTCCAATATGGAAGAACTGGCCCGCGGTGCGCTCCTTCTTCTTTTCCGCACCGCCGTTGCCCTTCGGGTTGTTGTCGGACGAATCGGCGACCATGTTCGCGACGTTTTTCTGGTTCCTCCGCGCGCCGCCATCCTGCTGACGATTCTGGGGGGTCCATCCATCGGGTTTCTTATAGCACAAAAACTAGGGGTGCCCCTCCTTCTCACAATACCAGCAACTCCCTTTCATTTTGCCACCAGCACCCGACTTGCCCCCACGTCCAGATTTCGCACCGCGACCCCAACCGGTACCTCCTTGTTGGTCGTTGGAGTCGTCGTCCTTCTTTGCACTGCGTCCAGCACCACCGAAGCCACGTCCTCTGCCACGTCGGCTTCCTTGCATCCCATAGCCGCTACTGCTGTCGTCTCTACCCCTCAGTTGGCGGCGACGGAAGTCCTCCTCCAGATTCTTTGTCCGCACCGACTCGAGTGTCCACGAGCTCTGGTTCTGCGGCAGGCTCATTCCGCTCGTGAATTGAAGCCACGATTCCGGCAGCAGCGAGAGCATCTTCAGGCACTTGGTCTGCTCCGGGTAGGTGATTCCCGCGGTCGCCAACTTCGCGTAGAGGTCGCGCAATTTGTCCAGGACAGGTTGCACTGGCTCTCCCTCGCTCAGGCGCAACGCGGACAGCTCCCTCTCCAGCATCAACGTTGCAACAACGGAGGTCGGGGCGTGCAGCTTCTTCAACACGGTCCACGCCTTCGGACCGCACTCAACCTCCGGCAGCAGGTGTATGACGTGGTGACGCTGGTTCAGCTCCAAACTCTGCGACATCAAATAGTAGCCAGCCGAGGAGCGCTCGTCCCAATCTTCGTGCAGCGCGGAGTCACTCGGTCTAGGCTCTTCCCCAACCATTACTTTGAGCAATCCAATCTGACGGAAATATAGTTGCATTTTCCAGGCTCAATCATCATAGCCCTCACCATTGAACTTCTCGACGGTGAAATTCTTCAGCACCTCCTTGACCAGCGAGCCCTGGTTTGTTCGCGCTCCCCTTGGCGCTGAAACACCAGAATCATGGCTGCCGCTACGATCTTGGGCTGAACATTCACCAGCTCCTGTCGAGGTGTTGCCCGCCATAGCTACGTATATCAAGGATCACTATAACGCAGCTCTGATACCAGCTTGTTGGTGTAAGGGCCTAATGAACTCAAGCTATTAAGACTTAATCAAACTTAAAACCTCTCCTCGGGGTCACCTCCAAGGGTCCTTGGGTGCCTGGTACAAGACCAGCCCATATCCTCGGGTCCGAGTTTGTAGAGAGAGGGATCAAGAATGACTTAGTCAAAATAACAAGAGTACCTTGAACGTCGCGCAGCGTATCGTGCAGACCGTCGACCGGATTAAGCTGAGAATTTCTTATGTCGAAGCTCACTCCAAGAGCTTTAAAATAAGCCAAGTTGCCTCGCGAAAAGTTCTGCCATTACGAAGTTATGGCTCGGAAAGCGTTTGCCTAGCGTTGGAGTGCTAGCATACTAGCGTTGACTCAGGTAGCATTCCGCCGTCGCACAGCGTAGAAACCAAATTCCAGGAAGGGAGGAACTCGCTTGAATCAAATTGACTATATTCAGGTACAAACAGAGAAGGAATATATATAGTTCTAGCTAGCAAGGACCTTGGGAATCAACCTGGGAACAACCAAGGATGATCCCAAATAATTCCAAGCAACAGAACCAACCTGGCTGGACAAAACAGCAGGTGGTAGGGTTGTAAACAACCTCTGGTTCTCTTTTTTGAACCTGGGAAATCAACAACCAGGTTGAGGTCCTAAAAACAGAACCTATTTTGTGTTTGCCCAACCAGCCAAGTGCCACTTGATACGCATGTGCTTATTCAGCCCATGAAGCACAGCGTTCATGGCCATCCCAAGAGCTCCCTTGCTATCACAAAACAGCGGCGTAGCAACCTTTTGCTCCTGGCCAATCTCCTCCAACAGCCTCCTCAGCCAAATCACCTCCTTCACCCCATGGAACATCGCTATGTACTCTGATTCCACGGAAGAGAGTGCTGTCTCCGTCTGCTTCTTTGACCTCCAACTAACCGGTCCTCCCCCAACTACGCAGATGTATCCTCCCACAGATGAGGAATCCTCCTTCTCAGAGGCCCACGTAGCATCGGTAAAGCAAGTGAGAAAAAGCTTGCCTTCTCCAACCCTCTCCCTCTTCTCTTTCAGCACCTCAACCCCTTTCTGCTTCACCTGTGCAGATGCGGAGTATTGAACTCCAATGCTTGGGTGAGAGTTCAGATACTTTACAATACGCTCAGCTGCATCCACCTGCTCCTCTGATGGATTCTGCACCACCCTAGCCAGCTGCCCAACCGAGAAAGAGATGTCGGGCCTCGTGTGAACTGCTGCATACAAGAGGCTGCCCACCAAGGACTGAAATTGCTGCTGCTCCTCGGCTTCAACCCCTTCATCCTCTGCAGCTTTCACAAGCTTGAATTCTGCTGGCAGGGGAGTTGCAAACTTGCGCTCATTCTCAATCCCGTACTTCTCCCCAAGCTCCTTGATGAACTTCTCCTGGTGCAGCTTCAACCACCTGTGATCCAGATCCCTCTCCACGTGCATCCCGAGGTAGTACTTTACCTCCCCAAGGTTCTTGCACTTGAAGTTCTCCATCAGCTGCTGCTGCACCTTCTGGATCTCCTTCATGCTGCTGCTAAAGAGAAGAATGTCGTCCACATAGACCAGAAACAGCACCAGCTTCTCCCCCTCCCCCTTGAGAAAGAGGCTCTCATCACAGCTGCTGGTCCTGAATCCCATCTCCTCTAAAACAGCTGCCAACTTCTGGTACCAGCAGCGTGGCGCCTGCTTCAAGCCGTAGATGGACTTTTTCAGCTTGCACACCCTGCCCGTACCATCCTCATACCCAGGTGGCTGCGTCATGTAGACATCCTCCTCTAAAATCCCATTGAGGAATGCCGTTGATATATCCATCTGAATGATGAATTTCCCACTAACGGTTGCATCTGCCAACAAGACACGAAGGGTAGGGGGTTTGGCAGTGGGAGCAAAGATCTCATTGAAGTCCCGCTTCTCCTTCTGCATAAACCCCTTAGCCACCAACCTACTCTTGTAGATGGTGACCTGCCCCTTGTCGTCAGTCTTGATCCTTAGCACCCACTTGCATTGTACCGCTTTCTTTCCCTCAGGCAGCACCACTAGTTCCCTAGTCCCATTCTCCAGCAGGCTCTGGTACTCAGCATCCCTAGAAGCTAGCCATTTGTCCCTATCTGGTCCAGCTAATGCCTCCTCCATGCTAGCTGGTTCCTCTGGTGCAGGGGCAAGAAAACAGTAGGCAGGTTCATCCTCCTCATCCAGATCATAGCCATGCAGTAGAATCAGCAATGCCTCCTCCGTCCCAAGCTGCTGCTCCGCTACATCAGCTCCTGCAGTCAGCTTCTTAGTAGCCATACGGGTACGTCCTGGCCTGGAGACGGGTGTTTCCCATCCCCTCATAACAACACCCTTCGGCTTCTTAGTTTTTCCCTGCTGCTGCTCTCCTCCCTCAGATCCAGCAGCTCCACCAGTGCTACCGCTAGTCTCCACACCATCATTTTCTCCACCAGCAGGTGCCTCCTGTACCTTCTTTCCATCACC